CATCCTTTTGAGTAAACTGAAAAAAAAAAAAAAACAACAAAAAAGAAGTTACAGTTTTCTTTTTTTTCTTTATTAGCTTGTTTTCAGTTTGTCTTTATTAGGTCTTATTTATTTGGGAAACTGATTCTTCTCTCAGTTAAAGAGTAAAATTTTTGCCCTTAAAATATTTAAATTATCACTTTGGCTGAATAAATGACATTTATAGTAAACTTATGATCTTGTTTTATGACAAGTGGTTTAGAACTTTGATATTTGACAAACTTTCCATGATAAAAATTCTAAATTCAGTCTTTTTGACCTCAGACTAGGTTCTAAAAAAAATTAGAGACATTGAAAGTCCAAGAGAGGAGCATCCAGCTTATGTGGTATGTTAAAACTATGTCAGAAATAGTCAAATATGAAATGGTGTTTGTTTCTGAGTTCTATCTATATAAAGATATTTTTAATATGTGTTCCAAAATTATGTGAGATTCCTAAAATTATGATGTCTTGATGTATGTTATTAGTAATAATTATGGTTATTAAGTTAAAGTGTTATGTACCCCACCCCAATTTTTATCCAAATTTCTTTGTCCATTTTCTCTTTAACCATGACAATTCTAGGACTTTCGTCATACACAGACAATTATTGTTTAGCTTCAATTCCTCTCTAAAAATGGTAACTAACTGACTATAGTTCAAAATTTTCTTCTTTAAGGAAATTCATAGAAAAAGGCTTTTACAGATACTTTTAAATAGAAATGCAGACAATAACTTAGGATATCATACTATGAGAAGAAAACTTCCAACACTTTATTTAAAAGGTGATGCATTTGTGAGGATTACTAACCCAACCTCAAGTAGAACAAAAATTATTAACATGGGCTCAGTGCCTGTACCTCAGCGAGTAGGGCTCTGGCCACATACACTGAAGCTGGCAGGTTTGAGCCCGGCGTAGGCTTGCTATAAAACAACAATGACAATTGGAACAAAAAATAGCCAGGCGTTGTGGTGGGCACCTATAGTCCCAGCTACGTAGAGGCTGAGGCAAGAGAATCGCTTAAGCCCAAGAGTTTGACGTTGCTGTGAGCTATGACACCATAGCACTCTACCTAGGGCGACATAGTGAGACCCTTTCTCAATAAAATAAAATAAAATAAAATAAAATAAAAATTAATAACATAGAACTAAACCACGTTTTTCATGACTTTTGCTTAAACATTGCTAATCCTTTTTGTGTTTCATTTTCCAGAAGTCAAAAAAACTTTTATCCCTCCTTTGGATCAATATCTTACAATAAATTGGTAAAGTTTATTTGTGTAAACAATTGGAAACATGAATTTTCCCTTTACTTGATTTCTCCAACATTTGCAAATTATCATATTATTACATTTTATGGCAGTATAATGTAATTATATTGTACATAATGTATAATCATAATATAATTTTAAAGAATAATTATAAAGTATAATTATAATGTTATTATACTGCCATAAAAGGTAATAATACATTTTATTATTGTATTTATAATGCGATAATATTATTGTATAGTCTGTTTTCTAAAAGTACAGAATTGGAGATGCTGGAATGGCATATTTTTAGAAAGGAACAGACTGCTTTAAAGAACTAGTTTGACTTTATAAGTTTGATTTTCAAATCTTTGAAAAATTTGGCCTGATACCTCAACTATAACATTTCCTGATCTGTGGTAAGTAAAGAATGTCACTTTCTGACAATTTACTTTGGGACCTCGAGAAAAAAGGAATTAACCCAGTTCATATAGGTATCTACAGGCAGTTAACTCTTTGGCTTAGCTCAAGAGCCTTTAAGTCTAACCTAAGATTCTTTATTTAAAAAATATTTCAACAAAGCTTATTATCTATTTCTTATTTTGAAATTTACTATTTATTTATTTTAAAGCAATATTTTCTAAAGGAAAACACATATGGCCTATGATTAACAATTGTTATTATGTTCTGCAGCATTTTAGTTACAAATTTCTAGATAAGAAAAACGACTTCACTGTTCGTATCTTAAGTGGATATTAGTTTCTTTCTCTAGGGTTTTGCTCAGAGGTGTTTTAGTTATTAAAGTCATCACTTGCTTGGAACAAGGACACTGGTAGTCACAGGAGAGGAAAAGGGTGGTAGTTTGCCGTGGACACTGAAGGAGAGAGATCCTTGTAAAGAAAGATGTTCTTTTGGATGAATACCTAACTTTTCAATAGCAAATTTATAGAAGTGAAGCAGGACATTGTGGTGGAATAGTCTGGTTTCTGTCTACAGCAGACCCTGAGAATGATTTTGAGTGTTATGTTTGTTTGGAATGTGTACTGAATAAAGGGAAAAGAGAGTGTTACTATGGGAAAGGAAGGTAGTATGTGACAGAAGTTTTCTTAACTTAGAGTAATAACTGGAGCTTAACATTGTTGAGTGAGTCTGGTAAATGGGGCAAAACACCATATTCAGAACTTCCTCCTGGTAGGGCCAAAATTGCTGGGTTATACTAGTACTATATACTGAGATTCCGTGGTGGAGGCCCATCCTGGTGATAATTATTTAGATATTTCTTGACTGCCACGCATAGTAGAAGCAAAAAGTTCTAGGAGAAAAAAGTCCCATAGATAGTGATACAAATACTAGTTGTCCACAGTTCAGTCAGTATTTCAAGGGACAAGGGCAGGGCAAAATGACCTTGTGTGACAGTGCAGATGAGTGGTAGGGATACTGTGCAAAATGTCAAACCCATTCGCCGACCTAGGAACAAAAAGAAATCAAAGCATCAACTAGGCTTAGCAGTTCAGAAAGAATGAAAGGGACGGGTTATGTATATATAAATACACATGCACAACATTTGTGTTTATGTATGTGTAGGTGTGTGTTCAGTTATTTTATTTTTGAGTCTGGAGTTCTGTATTGGGGAAGGTCATCCTCTTAGACTGAGTGCACAGGTGCACAGCTGCAAGAAGGATACACCTGGAGCATTGAGGGAGGAAGGGGACACCTGCCTCGCCAGCCAGATCAACTCAGGTGATCAGTGGGGTGACAGCTGTTTCAGTCAGATTGCTTTACCACCATGCATTGTTGCGTGAGGTTTCTTGTGAGTGGTTGGTGATGCAAGGTGTAGATTTGCATTGAAATTGTATAAAATAAATGTGGATACCGCTCGTTATGGCAAATAGCCAAAATCTTTATTTCTTCCCAGCTTAAATAGCCAGTGTTGCATATACATGTTGTTAATGAATATTCATACCACTACCTCACTAACATATTGTAAAAAACAGATTAACTTTTCAAGTGAGACACATTCTTCTAAGTTATCTTTTATACTCAAAACAGTAGCCATGAAAAAGCAGACTGTTAACTCCCTAGCCCACTTCTTGATAGATACGGAAACTACTATGGGGAAAAATGTCTGATTGTTTGCCTGCTCTTTGCAGCCTCAGGCCATCTGGAGGCAGTAACTTAATCTTGCAAAACCACAATTTAGAGGTCCTGGTGACATGCCAGTGATGCGCTTATACACCTTAGCCTCCTGGCCTGAGCACAGGAATTTTACCTTCTTAGTGCCAAGTCAAATGGAGTGCTGCCTCAGTGTCTCCTGAATTGTGCCAGGCAAGATTTGTACCTGCTCACTCTCAGAAATGGCAGAGGCAAAGACATATATAGGCTTTTTGCCTATAATGCACCTTCATCTTGAAGCCATTTTTATTTATTTATTTTTTTTTTGAGACGGAGCCTCAAGCTGCCACCCTGGGTATAGTGCTGTGGTATCACAGCTCACAGCAACCTCCAACTCCTGGGCTCAAGCGATTCTCCTGTCTCCACCTCCCAAGTAGCTGAGACTTGTAGCCTGCCACAAGACCCGGCTATTTTTTGGTTGCAGCCAACATTGTTGTTTGGCGGGCTGGGGCTGGATTTGAACCGGTCAGCTCAGGTGTATGTGGCTGGTGCCTTAGCCGCTTGAGCCACAGGCACCGAGCCTTGAAGCCATTTTTAAGAAAAACAAACTAACAAACCTGAAGTGCTTTAAACTGCGTTGTTCACAAGGTAGATAGTAAACATTAGTTACTATTTAAAGAGTAAAATTCTACATGGAAGTTTGTTATACTAAATAAGTTTACCTTTGGTTTGCTCATATCTCCCCATTTTCCAAGTAACCTTTGGAGACGACTTTGATATTCAAACAAACAAACAAAAAAACCCTCCCCTTCACCTTTTTTTTAGTGCTGGTCAAGGTGTTAGCATTACAAATGTACTGTGAGGATTTCCTGTGATTTAGTTCCTGGAACAAACTGAAAGCTTTGTGATTTGCTTTGCTGCTTCTTATCTGTGCCACACCAGCATATCTCACCAATAGATGATTAAGGAGCATCATTTAAATACAGAAACTTTTATTTCTCTTTCAATGTTGAATTTTTTTGTGGTCAAAATTAGGATTCTTTAACATCCAGCTCAGCTCCCATGCTCTGACAACCGTTCTTCCTGAACAAGCAGACGTCGTGTCTTCTCTGCATTGACCTTGGTACATCATTTCTCATGGCAGGTATGTGTGACCCTAGTCACAAAATTTTAAAAAAAGGTAACCAGAAAAGGTGTTTCACGGATTGGCTAATTTGGGGGCAGCATTTTAATAGAAAGGACATTGTTAACAGAGGATATTTTTAGGCCTTTCATGTGTATCGGCACTTTCCACATTCATCTCATTTTCCTGCTTCTTGATTCTGTAACCTAGACATGAGTTTGTGAAACTTTTCCAACGGTTCCAAAAAGTGACTCCAGGGATATCTCTAAATTCTGAGTGGGAATCAAACTGACCTGGTTAAATTGTGAGCAACGTAATTTAAATAAATAGAGAATGCCAAACATTAATGACATAATGCTTAAAAGTTTTTGTAAAGTTTATTCTTTGTGTTATGATATCCAAAAATTACACTGATTAACAGTTTGACACTTATACTATTGTTAACAACAGCATCACTTCTTGAGTGGGCTAACATTAATGTAGAATCTCCTAATGTTAAAATGTTTTAGGGAAAAAGCCTTTCAGCAAATAATTTTGAGTATGAGTAAATGTAATATTCTTGGAAAAAACTTGTTTATATTCATAAGTCAATGTACTCTGAAGTGAGCCCAGGCCCCCAAGATATTACCCATTTGTTGGTTGTAGAACCAGTCATCACTCCAAGTCCAGACTGTTCCTACGCTTTCTCTTCCCTGTAATAATTCAACAAACCTGTGGGCAACTAGATGTTTATCAGAGCAGAGCCTGTCCAAGATTAGGAGAAGGCACATTCCTAAGTAATATTATTGTAAAAATGATAGAATATGTTAAGTGAAAGAGTCTGGGCCTAAGCATACTCATTTGATTTCTGGCTTGGATACATACTAGGTTTGATACCTTGAGAAAATAAGATTATTATTAGACTATGTTTTCTCATCTACCTAGTAGTTTTATGCTATCTTCTGATTCTGTTGAAAGAACATAAGTAAATATCTGTTATATAAGCCCATATAACACAGATTGGTGCTTCTTGATTTCTTCTTACCCCAGATCTTATGTTTGTCAATTTAAAAAACATGTGTAAGCTGTGTGCAGTGGCTCATGCCTGTAATCCTAGCACTTTGGGAGGTCCAGGCAGTCAGATGGCCTGAGCTCAGGAGTTCTAGACTAGCCTGAGCAAGAGTGAGACCCCTTCTCTACTAAAAATAGAAAAATTAGCCAGGCATTATGGTGGACGCCTGTAGTCCTAGTTACTCAGAAAGCTGAGGCAGGAGGATTGCTTGACCCAAGAGTTTGAGGTTGTTGTGAGCTATGATGCCATGGCACTCTACCAGCGTGACTGAGTGAGATTCTGTGTCAGAAGAAAAAGGTGGTAAATCTACATTATTGAGGCAAAGCTGAGATAGAAGAAAGTGTATGGATAATCACACTGAAGAACAAGGTACACAGCACAAAAATGTTTATAGTGGGTAAAGTCCTGATGGAATGTCTTCATCTTTTAGAGTTTTATTCATGAGTTAGCTATTGTCAAATGCAAGAACTTTTTGGATGCTACTCACTGAGCTCTGTTTTTGAGAACTTCAGCGTCTGTGTTTGTCCTTTACAAATTGTTGTTGTCTTTCTCTACAGTGTTTCAGACCACTCTGTGGAAGTTAATTTCCGGGACTTTAGGACTAATATGCCTTTCGTTGGTGGCTACTTTGGGAATTTTGTTGAACAATATTTGTAAGTTTTTCTATAGCAGTCAATGCAAAAATAAAAACTTTAAGGATATAATTTAATAATAAAAATTTCTATAGGCTAATAATAAAAATTTCTATTTCATTTCTATGGGCTTTGCCAGAGCTGGTGTGGCTAGCTCAGCCCCATGTCTTGGTGTGGGCTCAGGATTCCCCTTACCACCAACACACTCATGTTCTCTTTCTTTATTTCATTCACAAATTACTATTCCCAAAGCCCCACATCCATCCCTTCAATGATGTCATTTTCCTCCTCACAAGCCCTGAGTGTAGCCTCCCTGCCCCACCCATCTCGCATAGAGAGGAAGTGACCACTACTGTGATGAGTGCTCACTTGTCTGGGTCACAGTGAACCATTATTTCATGCGACCCTCACAGCTCTGCCTGACAGATAGACTCTCCATTGTGTAGAAGGGAAACTGAGGCTCAAAAAGATCAAATCACCAAGTAACATATTATCTGTATGTTGTGGAGCTGGGACTCAATCTCTATTCTGCCTGAATCCTTACACAAGAAACCAACCAGCCTGCAGTCCACAGGCTTCAGAACAGTCTGAACACCTTAGCCTTTCCCGATTTCCAGGTTTTACTCCCTCATGTTGCCATACATCAATCCCTCCTTTTAATCAAACGTGTCCACTCACCTCCCGATCCTCACCACTTCTCCCAAGTCTGGGGCCTTCTCTTTTGCCTTTGTATCTTTCCTTGTATTTCTCTCCAAGAAGTTGCCTTCCCCCTCTTTCCCACCCATTTAGAATTCACCTTCCCTAGATTTCTGTTTAATTTCATTGCTATCATAGTCTTTCCTGATTATCTCACAGAAATAGTGTATCTTCTCAGGTTTCTTTGATATCTACTTAATCATTAGATTATTGCCTTCTGTGCCCTCATACATTTTAACTTTTGGCCATTCTGCCAACTATATTATGAGTCTCTTGTGGTCTAGCCTGTGATTCATATTTCTTTGTATTCCCACATGCTTGGTACAAGACATTATAAGAAGTTAGGCAATACTAACCGGTCCGTGTCTTTCTCCTCTAAGGTGCTATATTAGGAGTCATGATAATTTGTAAAGAGTTTTCTCCCCTTGGTAAAATATTAATTTGATCTTAAGATTCAAATCTTGGGACTTTCCTATTTGAATTGGTCACTTCCAAGGGTCAGGATAAAGATTTTAAAATTCTAAGATTATAGATAAAAATATTGGGAAATATCTTCACTAGCATATATGTAGTTTATCTCCTAATAAACATACTAATAAACACAAAGGGAATTTATTAGTAAATCCTACTATATAGGATATTTTATTGATACACATATTGATATACGGCATATATATATGAGAATAATTGTTCATAGCAGCTAAAGAGACATAAAATCTGTTTTAGAGGACCTTAAACTTATTACCCATTACTCTTCACTTTCTAGTAGATTTTACAATATTATTTTATATAACAAATAGAAGTTACTGGAAGACAAAATGTTTTTGGAGAATGTGGAGAAATCACAAAGGCTTTTGTGTTGGGGGATTAGAGCTTGGGTTCTAACTGACATTGCTTTGAAAATTTCACAAAACTTTGGAGATGATAAATGTTTACAATTTGT